TCTCACCGGCTCAAGGTTGACTCAGCCTTCCATCCTTCCGAGGTGGGTGAAATGAGGACCCAGACTGTGGGGGCGATATGCTGGCTCTGTAAACCATTTAAGAGAGGGCTGAAAGCCCTATGAAGCGGTATATAAGTCTAACTGCTAACTGCTATTGCTAACTATCATCCAAGTGAGTAAGGTAGGGCAGCTACCCTACCTGGATTGGAGTGTGTATATGTGTGTTATTCAGTGATTGGGAGCTGAAAATCTATGAAATCTGACTGGTAAAAATCCATAGGACCACTAGATGACAACAAAGAGATAAAAGAAGAGTGAATATTTGTCTGCCATCAATTTTTTATGGATCCTTTCAGCCCAGACCTAATTGCGCTAAACTTTACCAACTCTGCTTGCTTGCTCATTTAGTTTTTACGGACCCTGCCCTGAGTGGTATTAAGTCTAATAATGCCCAAAGAAATGCAATTCCTTCTCAGGGGAACCTCCGTCGTGATCTGTCTTAATTCCAATCCCACTGTATTTACCTGATCCCAAATTTTAGGGCCTGCAGGGCTAAGCTCTCGCAGAAACCCTCCACGGCAAATTTGGAGGCAGAGTAGATATCATTGAAGAGGAGACCTGCAGGGGATTAAATATTGCAAGAAAAAAAAAAGATGAACTCATAGACAATGAGGGGCTTGTTCTCTTTTACTACTTGCTAGTAAGATTTCCCCGAAAGAAAACTGAAGCTGCTTTGCACTGAGTAGCAAACTTCTTCGACCTGCCCTGCTGCTGTGCTTTTAATTGTATGTTCTCTTTTTTAACCCAACGCATAGTTACTAAAGCAGATGAAGCTTTTCTAGAGCCAGAAAGAAAGTTTGGAAAAACTTTCCAAGTTTTATTTATTGTTTATTGTTTAGTATGTCAACCTACTTTGTAGGACTGAAGAAAGAAGGGAGTTTGCTTGCACAAACAAGAACCATTCTGGCTGTATTTGATTTGGCATTGAACTATAATGCAACAAATCACCTGTTAGTCTAATATATTGTGTGAACCCAGCATATGCCATCAGTCTGTGCTTTATGTCTCATGAGAGCCTGGAATATCTGATTTGAATTAAATGCCCTGAATGGTGTCATGTGAACACAGACCTGACTACTAACAAGTTTTGATTAGAAAACTGAAGTCCAGAGAGTTCATTTTAGTTTATAGTGTAACATCTTGCACTCTAGTTGTGTCTACTTCAGGGGTGGGTTCCTGCTAGTTCTAATCTCTTCTATAGAAGAGGTTCCACAAATCTACCGGGCCGTTTAGAACCGGTTCCAGCTCCCTCCCCCCCACCTGTCCGCACCACGCTTGCTCCGCCCACCACTCACTGATTGGCTGGCTCCCCAATCGCCCCGCCCACCTCTAAGACTCCTATCTAAACCTTAAAGTCTTAAAGTTGTCAAGTTTGAACACCCCTGGGTTTTTTTTCTAAAGGGTTAGGGGTGGAAAGGTCTTGTAACTTGACAGCTTTAAGCCTTGCGTGCTTCAAATGCCAGAGTATTTGAACCAACATTTTGGTTGCTAAGCAAGAGCATTGTTTAGTTTCACCACATTTTACAAGTTGGTCACGCTCATCCAGTCACATGGCCGCCAAGCCACTCCCACTCAGTCACATGGCTGGCAAGCCACTCCCAGCCGGTCACATGGCTGGCAAGCCACTCCCACAAAGCAGGCCACACCTACAGAAGAGGTTCTAAAAAAATTTGAAACCCACCACTGGTCTGCAGAGTCTACTTTAACTAGGTCAATTAAAGACCGAGTAGCTACAATCTGTACACTTTGTTGGTTTTAACTTTTCTTATTGTTTAATGTGTTGTGCAAACACAGCCCATTAATTCCGCTTCTCATTTAGCTCATCTACGTGTACCCAGAAGAGCAGCCAAGTTAAGCTTGTAAAGGTCTCTGAGGGGATGTTGACAAATAAATACACAACAGGTCGGCATGAATGTTTTCCAAAAAATCCTCCTCAGGTTCATGAATGATTTTGCCCAGAGAGGGAAGTGCTTTGGGTGCCCTTCCCTCTCTTTGCAAGCTCCTTTAGCCCTGCGAGGTATTGCTAGGTTCCTTGGTATGACTTGCCTCCAGTTCTTTGTTCGGTAGCAAAGAAAAGACGGAGCTTAATGTTAAAAGGATCTTGACAAGACTGGAAATACTCTCATTGCCTGCAACCTCGCAGAGCTGCTCCCTGTCAGAGAAGACAAGATGGACCAACAATATGACTTGGTATAGGCCAGCTTCACATGTTCCAGATAAATAGCCTGTATGATGTAGTTGCCATAGAAATCCATTGCTAAGGGTGCTTCCATTCTCCGGAACCTGTCCCACCCTCGTCCTCTGGGGGTAATCAAAGTTGGTTGTCCAGAGGATTCTACCACATTCTCCTTTGTCCTCTGAAAGGAGCTTCACCTTGCAAACCTAGGACGCTGCTCATCACAACAATATGCCCTCTCTTTCGCCGCTTCATGTCAGGGAAGATTTCCTGGATAAGGCGCACCAAGCCAAAGAAGTTGGTGTCGAAGAGGTGTTGGATTGAGGCCATGCTCTGGCTTTCCACTGGACCAATCAGGCCAAATCCTGCATTGTTCACTGTATAGGAAGGGAGTGGTAAGTTAGCAAGAGAGAATAGGAGAAAGCAATATTTCAAATCCTGGTGAATTTGCGAAAACAGCAGTGGAGAGGAGGAGGAGATGATGTTACAATCTAACTCGTTGTCTTCAAATCCTAGCAATTGTTAGCAAAGATGACACTGGCCTACCTTGGGCTTTCTCTGTACTTTGAGAAACGCCCGAACAAGGTTATTTCCAAATGGCAGCTCACAGAACTTCCTCTATTCCTCAGCAATATGCACCACCCGCTGCTATCGAGTGATTCATATCCTACTCCACTACTACAAATCACAACTTGTCACATCCTCACTGAACCTGCATTTTTATGGTCAGTATCCACAGTTTTCTTATCTCTTTGTTCATTTTTTTCTTCCATCTTTTGAACTCTGTCCTCCACTTCCTTCATTTGGTAAACATCAAATGGAGGAGAGCTGATGTCGCGACGGCACGATGTGCGATCTTGGTGTTCCGAGATCGCAGTCAAATTTCTGCCGCTGGACAGTCCATTTAGACCTAAACTGTCCCGCAGAGACAGTGATTGAGAAGGGCACCTGCTGATCTCAGGGACACCACAAAGTCCCTGAATGATCCAGGAATAGTCCCTTTTTCCGGTGACAGAAATGCAACTAAGGAAGCTGCTGAAGTTGGGACAGCTCCGGAACGGGAAGAAAGCGGTAAGAAAAAGTTTGTCGAATTGGTGAGAAAATTTTATTATTAGAGGAAGAGACTACCCAAGAAAAAAAAAA